GCTATGAAACTTGATTTTTTCTGACTCGCTGAGTACTTGGCAGCCAGTATTTACCTGTTTTTTTCATTGATTTTTTTTTTTTTTTAAAAAAGTTACTCAACGTCATCTTCTTTCTCCTTATAAGACTTCCCGGTCAGCACAGTCATCTGGTGCCACCGCCTGTGCTCAATATGCAGTGGGCATCTTGGTCCGGCAAAGGAGACTGGGAGTCCAGACTGTTCCTGGCGCTCTGTTTGTGGGGTCCTGGTGACGGGGCCCGGCGGGGGAGCCGGGACGGAAGCGCTCTGTGTCGGTCTGGGCAGACCGCGGTCCTGTCCTGTGGCACAGCTCGTGTCTGGGCTGTCGCGGGACGTGGCTGGGGGACGCAGAGCAGGAGAATGAAAAACTGTCATTGCTGCAGTACAACTGGAACCGCGTCGCCTCGTCCTGGCCTTGCCCGAGCAAGGGAGGATTTAGCAGAGCTAAATTTAGCTTTGCTAAATTTAGTCCAGCTGTGCAAGCGTTCGCCGTTGCTGGCATGGCCCGTCGGCTGCAGGGCTGGCCCGGGCAGGCGGGTTCGCCCTTCTGCGCTGGGCTATGGTGGTATTCACCAGCTCGAGCCTGCACTTTTCCTCCTCAAATCTTTTGAACGCTTTGCGTGAAGCAGCGTCAGTAGATCAGTTGTCATCTTCTGGTGTTACTCCACTGAGATGCCGTCCAGCATGCTTTGAGGAACCTACGTTGTACCTGAGACATTCTTAAAATGACGAGATTTTATCTGACTCAAGGGATCACCCATCCGAGGACTGTGGATAATGAATGTGAATAAGTAACGTTATAGAAATTAATGAGTTTTATTAATTGAGTTTATCCTGTACATTAATAGTATTCTAGCATATCCAAAATCTTGATGAGACCAGAATACTCTCTTTATCAAGATAATTAATATCTCATGAAGATCATTAATGCCGCATGATGTTTAGGTCAGAGCTCAAAGCGGAGATGTTATTGCGGATCTGGGGGAAATTACGTTTTTGGTCACACATGGTAGAGATGACCTTCGACTCCCATCAGATCAAGAGGACTTTGTATCTGACACCTGAGGATTTTCCCCTTCTCTCACTTGCTATGAGAGTTACCGGCTTTTTAGGTTTTGAGTGATTAGTTAATCAGTAATTGTTTTGGAATTGAATCATAAATTTTACCCTGATAACTCAATGATAATATGTTGACTTAAGTGTGGCAAGAAAATATATTAGATGTTCAACCTAACAGATAGCTGGTAAAAACCTGACATTTAATTAACAGACTCAGTAGAAGGACTGCTAAATTGCATGCTTATTTATTTGGATATGAATCCTCGAGGCAGCTGTGGGATCCATGTATGTCACCAAGGAGAACTTGTCTTTAAGAGAGCATCTTTCAACAGCAATCAAAGAAGTCATAACTCTCTTTTATGGAAGAGCTTCCAAGTTTCCTACCAAATTCTCTAGATCTGAGAACATTTGCTTTCAAACGCATTTCGACACCAAACCCCCTCAAAACAAAAGAGCCAAAAAGCTAGGTGAGAAATGGCCTTTGAGGCAATGGACTAATGGTATAGTTTACTAAAAGGTGTATTTGACCCATTCCATCTTTATTAACTGATTTCTAAGCAATCAATGGTGACTGAATTACGCGGACCTCGGTCAGGATGTCCATGGGAGGGTTTTTCCCACTGTGGGGTACAGAAACCCATCTGTAATGCTGGCGGAGCAGCGCGGCTGTACCAGGGGTGTCAGGACTTCGGTGTTTTGGACTTGAACGTGGATGATTTTGAGTCTTTTGCAGCTGAATTTGATGGGCCAGGTAAGACAGGGCTCAAGTTCTGAATTGTTCAGTTCTTGTCTGAAGAACCGTTTTGAAGCCTTAGAAGTTCACGTGGATGGAGCAGCCAGGGAGCTGTCTGGAGCAATGCTCCTTTCCCACGCATCTTCCCTGTTACTTCACTGTAAGTTGTGTTCTTAAAACCTGTTGCTAAGTGGTACTCCTGGGTTCTTTGTGTTTGTAGTGCAGTGCTAAGACGGTACAGCACCGTGTCAGCAGTAACGCAGCCGTGCGTTGCTTGGCTTTAGGTGTCGTTACCAGTCAGACGTATGGCTGTGCTCGGCGTGAACGCTGCTGCGGGAGCTTTTACTGAGGAAAGGATCAAGAGGCAAAAGGGCCGTACCCTCTGGCGGAGCAGGGTGTAGGGATCACACGCTGTGGACACAGTCTTGCAAGTGATAACATTGTGCCACCAGAAGTCCGTTTGTGAAGGTTTGGGGATGGAGGTTTACATGAGCATCTGCAGCAGCAACCAGGAGATGAAGCAGGCCAGATCATTAGTGGGAAATACACTGACACGCGAAAGGATGCTGAAAAGATCATACTGCTGTGGCTACTGATATGGAAACAGAAGATAACTTGCGCTCAGAAGAATCTGTAGTTTTCCAGGACAGAGGATGAAAGCATGTAAGGACAGGGAAGAGTGTCTGCCTGCGGGAGAGAGCTTCTGGGACATCAAGGGTTGGAAGATTTCTTGCATTTGCTGTGTAAAGACAGGATAGGCCTCTTCTCATTTTGTCCTGGTTAGAAGATGTCTGTGTTCAAAGGAAGGGAAGTGTTCAGCTCATCGTTGAGGTTAGCTAATGACAAATCTTAGCAAGTGCCAGCTCTGCTGTAAGAACAGGTTAGGCTTCTGGGAGATACATGAAATTAAAGGAGATTGTGTCTCCCAGGAGCAGATAAGCCGGTGTGGAGGGTGTAAACACAAACGCTGTGAGATGATAAAGTACGCAGAAATAATTCTGCAGCTTGAGACTGGCAGAAATGAATCTCGGAGGGGAGTTATTTAAAGTACTAGCCAGGTCCATTTGGCCTGCAGGCAGGGATGTACATAAAGAATATTACTGGACATCACCAAAAGCAGCGAGTGCAGGGAAGGGCAGAGCAGCTGGCGGAGGGCTTTATGGGCAGTGCAGAGCTCTGGTACCACGGTCACGAGCTGTCAGCTGGGCAGCAGCGCCTGGGAGGGAGAGCGGCTTGAGGGTTATGTGTGTGTGAGAAGATGCAGAGAACTATTGGCCTTTTAGACCTTGGCTTCCTCGCCGAGGAGGCTTGGCGTGGGGGGTAGGAAGAAGTGTTTGGTGCCTGCCATCCCGGGCTGCTGGGCAGGGGGGTCTCAGCAGGGCTGAGTTTCCATGTGGCAGCAGGGATGTGATAAGGAACGAGGGGCATTTGCACCACTGGAAATGTCACTGCTGCAAGCGTGCTTCCTCACAACCTGGCTATGACATCCTGCTGGCCAGAGACAGTCACATGGGTACCGCGGAAAGATCCCTTGGAGCAACGCTGGAAGCGTGAGAGGAGGGCTCGGCAGCACTTCGCCGGCCATCTCCAGGCCCAGGAGCCCCAGCCTGGTCCTGCCCAGCGGGGGACTACCTGCTGCCAGCACCAGAGCGCCTCCGGCCGGGCTCTGAGCGCCTTCTCGGAATCCTGCCGGGAGTGGGGCGTATGTACTTGTCCCCATGTTCTTCACAGCGTGCTCTTCAGAAGCAACAGGACACGAAGGGGGAAGGTAGGAAACCAGCCTTCCCGGGCCTGATGTTCTGCTGAAAACAAGGAATGAGCTGCTGCTATCACAAGCTTTGGGCTGAATCGGGAGGCATGCCGAGTGGTTAAGTGGTTGCAATTTATCTTTAGTTCGTCTGAGGATTTGCACTCTCGCAGTAGTGGAACTTGGTGGTTTAAAGCGTCGCATGCATGGGGCCCATTATCTAGTGTTTTCTGGTGTGGAAGAGGAGAAGTAATTGGAATTTGCTTCCACGATTATTTCTGTGACATACAGCGTTGCCCTGTTTTTCCGCTAGCCTTAGGGGCTGTTGCTTCATGCTTGGGTGAAGCTGTTTACTTAAAAAAAGAATAAAAATCCACTAGCATCTTTCCTAACTCCCCCTCTCCCCCCAAATCACAGTCTGCAGTGTGCTGGTCAAGACATAATCCTGTTCCTTTCCCTGTAGGTGACGACTTCATCAGGAAGTAAGTGCTTCTCGTGTCGTTCTGCAGCAGAGCGAGATAAATGGATGGAAAACCTGCGGCGTGCCGTGCACCCAAATAAGGTAGTGGCTTTGAGGAATTGCCTCTGCTATAGTTCAGTTCCTCGTTATTACATTTTATAGCCCAGTGCATAGTATCAGCAGGGGACGTATTGTCATTTTAGCGAGCAAGTGTAACTGTGGGTCAGCCTTTTTCCATATTGCTTTCTTCCACAATTATATTTACAGGCAAGTGCCAATTATTTCTTCCCCTCTTTTCTCAGCACATGCTGCTTCAGCTGTTGCTAAGAATTGATCAGACCTGAAGACTGCTCTGTTACTGATGATACTTGCCACTCACGTAGGACTTCCACCCCGCAAAAGCTCTGGGAGAGATGTCGGGTAGCTGCCAGCAGAGTTCCAAGACTGAATAGTCCGAGGGGTTGACATACCACACTTCCCGACCCTGGTAGTACCTGCAGTGTCTGCTTTAGCGATGGAGAAACTCAGGTGCCCATCGCAGCAAGTTCTCTGAGGCGATAGTGGAACATAGCTTTCCCTTCTCCAGTCAGTTGAGGTGGCAAAGTCATCTCCTCGGGGACCTACAGAAACAAATCCTTCCCTTCACTACAACACAGGGACACCCAATGTACGGTTTCATGGCCCGCTAAGACTAAGTACATCCTAAAATAAAATCTACAGCTGCTTCTCCCTCTCTGCACTGGAGTTAGCTAGCAGAGACTGATCAGGACTAATCAGCCGCAGGATTTCACAGCTGATGAGCACAATCAACAAGTCTTTTTCTGCTGATCAGAGAAGACTCAAATGATGGGATCCTGTGAATTCGTTCCTATATCAGAGCCACGTCACTGTGCATACGAGTTAGGTCCATGCTGGCAGGTTGCTAAAGGAGCCTTCTGTGTTGGAGGTTATTGTTCCCGGTGCAGTGCCAAATGTCAGTATAAAAGATTTCCTTCAATATCAGACCGGGAGCAGTGGAGGGGAGAGGTGGACTTCTGCCTCTGTCAGCATGTTCCTGCACGTGGAGTTCAGTGACTCCGGTGCTTTCCGAGTGCAGCAGCCTGGTAGTAATGATCTGAAAGAGCTGTGTAAGGTTGGGGTGGTCACACTTACCATGAGAAAAGTCCCGGGAACGTGAGCTGGGGCTGGGCATGTCACTATGGCTTTGAGATGCAGTGCGCAGTGGAAATTCATTTGGAAGTGTGCCCTCATCTCAAAACATGCCATTAACTGATGGCTAACTTTCCATCTTCGAGTTCGTAGACAATAAACTCTCAGTATCTGACTTGATATTCTGTCAGGAATTCAGTGTTCTTGTGTAGTTCCTGCCTGTACTTCCTGAACCTACAGTACCCCATTGTGGACTTCCAGCAGAAGGGTTCCTGCCCAGCCTCCTAGGCTGAGCAGTCAGCCGCGGTTGCTGTTTCAGTGAGGGGTTTCCAAACAAAACAGGTGACTGCAGAAAAAAAAAAGCTGCGAGCGCTTTATCCTTCAAGTCCCTCCTGCAACAAATGCCCCTGGATGTCCTTCCAGGATGAGGTCAGCATCACTGGGGAGCTCAAAAGATCCACAGTTACCCTTTTCTCCGTCATTGTTTAAAAGATACCCAAGCCAAATTTCTGTTTCTGAGTTGTAACCATTCTTGTATGACTCACTCTGTCTCCCATAATTCCTCTCGATGTTTTAGCTGGGTGCTCTGGACTTCTGCCCTAAAATATCGTGAGGTTTGTAAATGCTTCTTTCCCTGGCAGAGGTGGTTGTGTTCCAGCCGTGGATGAGGTGATCCCTGGGTGTGCGTTCACATCCCTTTCCTTGTTCTCTAACAGCAAAGCAAATGTACTCTGGGGCTGCTGCAAAGCAGCTCTACTGAAAAAGGAGATGGTTGTGAGATACCTGTAACGCAGCTTCTGTTTTGCAACAGCCATTAGTGATCGGTGAGGTTCTTTTGAGGCCCTCTTGGCTGTGAACGGGAAATAGTACATTTATGACTTGGAGGGGTTTTATCTTCCTTGTTCCTTATATTAATTGGCACCAACAGACATGGAGAGCATGGTGATATTTGGGAAATTAACATAAGTAGTGTTATTATGCACATTCCTGAGTGCCAGTATTTCCTTAAAATAAAATGTAATTACGCCTCTGCTCATTTAGCACATCCGAAATAATTAACTCATATCTCCAATTTTGTTGTGCTTGGCTTTGTAGGTTTTTTTATTGACCTTTTTTTCTTTGCATCTTTTTTTCAGGACAACAGCAGAAGGGTAGAGAACATGTTAAAGTTATGGATTATTGAAGCCAAGGACCTGCCAGCTAAGAAAAAGTACTTGTGTGAATTATGCCTGGATGACGTTCTTTATGCACGAACTACCTGTAAATTGAAAACTGATAATGTATTTTGGGGGGAGCACTTTGAATTTAATAACCTCCCATCGCTCAAAAACATTACGGTGCACTTATACAAAGAGACTGACAAGAAGAAAAAGAAGGACAAGACCAATTTCATTGGACAAGTGAACATCCCCGTCAGCTCTGTCACGGGCCGGCAGTTCGTAGAGAAATGGTACCCAGTGGTCAGCGCCAACCCCGGGAAGGGCAAGTCCCCGGGGCCCATGATCCGCATCAAGTCACGCTACCAGAGCATGAGCATTCTTCCCATGGAGATGTACAAAGAGTTTGCCGAATACATCACTAACAATTACATGGTGCTGTGCTCGGTGCTGGAGCCCTCGCTGAGTGTGAAGAACAAAGAGGAGATGGCGTCTGCGCTGGTGCACATCCTGCAGAGTACAGGCAAGGCCAAGGTAAGACCCTTCGTCGCCAGTACCATCCCACCAGAGTCCATCAGGAGCAGATTCCTGTGTTGGGTTCTTGGAAGTCACCACATCAGTTGGGTTTCAGGCCTAGCCATCATTAATACACGCTACTTTTGCTTTTAATTACAAACAAGTTAGTAGCACGTGCAGTGCGAATTGCTTAATTAGCGAGGAAGTCAGTGGGACCACAAGATACCAACCGAGTGATTCTTCTCTCCTCCTGGAGGCTCAGGGGCCGGGCTCTTACTTTATAAACAGGCACAAATGCGAAAGTAAGCAAAAGGCGGTTTTCAGGGATGAAATGTAAGCAACGCTGGCTTGACCTAAGCAGCCTGCATGTGCTGGGGATTCCTGTGGGAAGCCAGCAGGTTCCCCGCTCCGCTCCCTCCTGGCGCCGTCCTGCTGCGCGGAGCACCCGGCACGGCGGGAGCCCATCGGGAGCAAACAGCCTCTCGAGCACTGCAGAGCAAAGTCCGCCCGCGGGCACGCGTGGCTCTCAATCAGCTCTCAGTCTTTGGGGTCTGACCTGATGCTTTTGGAAGGGAGGTGTGTGTGTGGGACAGCCGTGCGGGAAAGCCGTGGGGTCCTGGGGTGCCCCCAGGGCTGTGCTCGTTGCGGGGATGGTGCTGCCCAACTCGCGAGTGGTGGAAGTTCATTTTTTGTGGACCGCTTTGTGTGAACGCCCTTTGTGGTTGGGAATCCCCTGCCAGGTCTGGGGGAGAAGCAGGCCAGGAGGAGGCAGAGTGTGGGATTTATTCCTGGTTGGGGTATGAGCAGGGTGAGCAGAGCTGGGGACCCCCTCACTGGAGAGCACAGGCAGGTGCTGAGGTCCCCAGCGCGTGGGGCATGGAGTTGCATCCTCTGTCCCCAGCTGGCACGGCACAGCCGTGGTGGGCAGTGCCAGGACTGCAGGAGTTAAATCATCAGCATTTTTCTCTGTTGACATCTCCCTGAACTCTGCAGGGAAGAGCAAGATTTCCAAAGCTTTTCCAGCGCCGCAGAGACGTGAGCTGCTCACCTGAGGGGCAGTCGCGCGGCTCTGCTTCCTCCGCAGCTGCCGCTGCTGCCCGGGCCGGTGGCAGGGTTTGTGGATTAGGTTTAGTGGCCATCTGTCGCACAGAGAAGTGGCTTGGCCTCCTGATCTAGTTCAAGGCAGGCAAAGCTCACTGAGAGGATTGTGAAGCCGTGGGCCCATTATTGCAGTGGCAGAGAAAATAGCTCCGTTAAAGCCTTTCTGATCCCGGCGGCAGCGTCTGACCGCAGGAGCGCAGGGGAGGATGGCAGTCCCGGTCCCCTTGGCTGCAATACCCTCAGTGGGGACAGAAGTGGCTGGTGGCTCACGGAGTGTGAAGTACCGCTCTGCGGTTACAGGAGGAGAGCATCGTAGGTGGCCCCGTCCTCACTCCTCGTGCCGGGGTTTCGGTGCCGTCAGCGTGTGGTTCCTGGGTGCAGCCCTGCCTTCTGCTGTGCCGCTCCTCCCTGTGCTGCCCTTCGCCACGGCTCTGGCAGCACTAGTGCCAGCGCTCTTGTTGGGGTGACATTGCCATCAAAGACCCTGTCCATGGCTTACACGGTTCTGGTGCAAAAGACCTCGGGTGGCACCCTGGTCTCGGCACCGTGGATCACGTGCGGGCATGGCTGAGAGCTGATGTCACTGCTTCTGCCTTTTCCCTCTTCTCATCGGTACTGGAGATGCTCCGGAGAGAGCAAGGGTGTTTCTAGACGTGTGTCTGCATCAGTGCTTGAGATCCCAGAGGCTCTACACAGGGGACACAGCAGACAGTAAACAGGCTTGATGAATTTTCCCCCTAAAATGGAGCCTCTGCTTTCCCTGCCTGTCATCTGCCACCAGCATTAGCACGGGGTTTAGGGAGCTGTCAGGGCAACAGGATAATTGGAGCATGGGAATGGGGTGGTGCGTCCTTTGTAGAGGAGCTGGACAAGCAGGGGAAGGGAAAAGCAGCAGTGAGGTAAAGAAAAACAACGTGTGGGAGAGGAAAACAGCCACTCACCCCTGCGTGTGTGCCGTGGTGCACCCCTGTGGCTGAGCACCGCGGCCCAGCGAGGGGACGCAGCCGCAGGAGAGGGCAGGCTGGTGCCTGGGCTGCTGGGGGGGCTCTGCTGGGGCTGTGGTCCCTGCCCTGCTGGGGACAGCCCCTCTCCACCTGCGCCAGGGAGGACAGGGCAGGACCAGTCTGACTGCCATGCTGATTGCCGTGCTGCCTGCTCTCCCCATCCCTGAGCAGTGCCCGGCTGGCCCCTTGGGGGGCTCTGAGCATCTCCCGGGAGTTTCAACACAGAAACAACAGTTGCTTACTCTTGCTTCCCAGCCCTTCTGCAGGAGAAACAGTTTCACAGCATCCCAGACTGGTGGGGGCTGGAAGGGCCCTCTGGAGCTCCCCCATCCCACCCCCCGCCAGAGCAGGGGCACCTCCAGCAGTGGCACAGGACGGCGTCCAGGCGGGTTTGGGATGGCTCCAGAGGGGGAGACTCCCCCACCTCTCTGGGCAGCCTGTGCCACTGCTCTGCCGCCCTCACAGCAGAAAAACAGACTGTTCCCGTCCCCCCGGCACCTCCCTTTAAGTAGTGATCAGCATTGATGAGATCCCCCCTCAGTCTTCTCTTCTCCAGACTGAAAAGCCCCACGTCCCTCAGCCTTTCCTCATAAGAAAGGTGCTCCAGTCCTCCAGTCTGTTTCATTTTTCTTTTGTGTGAAGGTCGGGTGGCTCTGTAGGTGGTTGTGTGTGTCGGGGATGGCAGGCACTGGCAGGCAGGTCCAGCTCTGAACTCCGGCTTGGTTGGGTGCTGAGGACACGGTTCCCTCAGCCCAGACTCACCCGGCACTGCTTGTTCAGAGGGGACACGGAGCAGGAGCATAAAACACCCTCGTCCCGAAGTTGGGCACAGTGGGGTGTAAAATGGGGTTCGGCGCCTGGGGGCAGGAGAACAGATCCCCGGGGGAAGCCGGCGCTGCTGGATGAAGCTTGAGGCTGTAGAAGGTGGAGCCGGGTCGCAGCTTCTGCTGGGTGAGGACCTCAGCCCAGTGGGGCAGCGGCGAGCGCCCTGCTGCCCCCCGGGAGCGCGTGCGGAGGCCGTGGGGAGTCCCCCTCCTCCTCTGTCCTCCCGTGACCCTCCGAAGCTTGCCTGGGCCGGGGTGGGTTCCCCATCCTTGTGCCTTGCCGAGAGCCTTCCCAGCGACCTCTTCAGAGCTCTCCCCGGCCCTGAAGAGTGCAGACGTGGCAATCAGCAACCACTAATTTATTTTGCTGATAAAGGGTTTTCTGTGGCTCTTGGCTGCTGTAGCTGACGCTAAAGCAGCAATTACAGTTGGAGTGAGAAACAAGTGTCCGGTAGATTATCTATGAAGACTCGTTAGCAGCTAATTGCTCTTGCACTCTTTCAGGCCCTGTTTTCCTGTAGCGATTTGCTGTAAATATGGTGTAATCCCTTAATGAGGCATGACCGATTGGGTACGTGTGTCCACCCGGAGCCACACAGCAGGAGTTCCCGTGCAGGAGAGGTGTGATGTGGTGCCACGCGGATGATGCCACGTGCCAGCCACAGCCAGACACCACCAGCGTCCCCGTGCAGCCCCGCAGATGGCAGGAGGACAATCCTTACCCCCCCGACACCCCACTTGCGTCCTTTGCAGTACTGGGTGTCCCCCGCCAGCCAGGTCTCGTTCCCTAAAGCTGCTAAAACGTGGTGGTGCTGCCCGAGTCCCTCCTGCCGGAGAGGCACAGCACATACGGCTGCTGGCAGAGGGGGGACAAGAACTCTAGCTGAGTTTTCTCCCTAAATATCTTCTTCCTGGGCTTCATAGCCTTATCACAATAGATTAAAAGGTGGAGAATCATAGAATCATGGAATGGTTTAGGTTGGAAGGGACCTGGAAAGTCATCCAGTCCCACCCCCAGCCCTGGGCAGGGACACCTCCCCCCAGCCCAGGTTGCTCCAAGCCCCGTCCAACCTGGCCTTGAACACCTCCAGGGATGGGGCAGCCACAGCTTCTCGGGGCAACCTGCCCCAGGGGCTCACCACCCGCACAGCCAAGAATTTATTCCTGGTATCTCAATCTCCCCTCTTCCAGTTTGAAGCCATTCCCCCTCATCCTACCTTGGATGCCCATGGAAAAAGTCCCTCCCCAGCTCTGCTGTAGCTCCTTTAGGCACTGGAAGGGGCTCTAAGGTCTCCCCGGAGCCTTCTCTTCTCCAGGCTGAACCCCCCCAACTCTCTCAGCCTGTCCATGAAAGCAGAGAGTCCTCTCTGGAGTTGTAGTCCGTGCTTTCTTTGATCTCTGTTTGGGAAGGGGAAAAGTTTCATCCCTGCAGTGCTGCGCAAGGCTTTGGTGCGCATCAGGGCACGCCTGGAAAGCCCCGCACAGCCGCCAGGGCAAATAGGTGGAGAGGAGGGGGAAAGGCATTTTGATAAAGCAAAGAGTGCAAACAGTCCGCTGACGGAGCCGCCCCGGCCCGCTGGAAACTCTGACAAACATCCAGCACTAAACCAGCTCTCGGTGGGAGTGGTTCTTCACTGTCTCTATTTATGGCAAGTGGGGACTGGAAGAGGCATCGCTGTGCCGCACAAGGGACATGGTTTTGTGGCTGAACAGGGAGATGTGGGCGCTCAGCATCTGTCCTGAATTGTTGTGTGCTTCCATCCTCCCAGTGAGAACACTGATAAAATGTTACCTGGAAGGGCGTGGAGAGATGCCTAACTATTTTCATGTGTTTTGCAACCCATAGACGAGAAAGACACAGTCGTAATTACAAGTATTTGTGTTGCCATGCTCGGTGTTACCGGGAGTGCTCACCCCTGCCATTAGCGTGGCTTGATGTGGCCCCTGTGATGTGGTTGGGAGAGGCAGGCTGCATCCCTCCCAGAGCCAGACCAGTTGCGACTTTTGATGCTTCCAAAATATTTCCCGTGCTTAGATTTGTTTCAGGGCTGTCTTACAGCTTTTGGAGCTCAGTTCATGACCATAAATA